TATTTTCCTCAAAAACATTATGTGAAATTCGGATTTCTAGTAAATGGAAAGTTTTGGCAAGAGATCTTGAATTATTTCTTGAAAATTGGAAAGGACGAATTCCAATTACCATGTATTTCAGTGTAGATCTTTATGCAAAATTTTATTTTACTGCATATTGCATGGAAATACTTAATAAATATGAAGACAATGGCGTATTGAAGAAATATAATTATTATCATGATAATTTTTACTTAATAAATTAGCGTTGGATTATTTACTATTTTTGAGCTTTTTTCTATTTTTTGTATTAAATATTTTGTTTTTATTCTAATAAATATTATAAATAGGACAATTTAAGAATTCTTTTAATTCATTTAATTAAATGAACAAACAAATTCCAATGATAAAAACAAAAAAAAAATAAAAAGGAATTCGGCTGTCAAAAGTATTAATGCAAAATATTCCCATATTTCAAATCCACTGTACAAGAAAAGAAGACTCAGAAAGGGAAAGTAAAATATAAAAGTATGCATCATAATTATATAATATGTCATAAAGTTATTTATTTTTTCTGTTCTTATTATTTATTGATAGCAGTTTATTTATCAAAAAAATTAAAGAAACTTACCTTTACATTTTTTTTTATTAAATTGAAAACTTCACCTATTTTTTGATATTAAAACCTAATTAAGTTTCTTATTTTGTTTATTTTATTAGTTTATTTTAATAGAATTTTTAAAAGAATTATTTTATAAATTACATGTAATAAATTTTTTTACTTAAAATAAACTTTTCAAAAATGTTTATTCAAATAGTTTAAGTATAATAATAATATGAAACTTAAAAGTAAATTGTTTCATAAAATATATTTATAATATGAGAAAATAAAAAGAATAAATAAAGATAAAAAACCAATTGTTACTTCATATTATATCAGTTTAAAATATAATCTAATAATAAATATTATAATTAATAAAATAAATAAAATAAATAATAACCACACTCAAAAAAATATAAAATTAATAAAATGATTAAAGATGGATGCCATAATTAAGAAGTTGCAACTCGGTAAGTTGCAACTCCTTGTAAATTTATTTTAATATAAAAATTCATAAATATTTGCAACTCAAAGTATTGTAACTTAAGTTGCAACTAGTTAAAAGTTTTAAAAATAATTATAGGAATCATCTTTAAAGATGATAATAACTATTTTAAAAATAATGTAATTATAAAATATCTAAAATTTTGCTATTAAATTTGTGTTGTAAAAATACTATTAAAACCATATTTTGAAGTATTATTATACTATTAATATGATTTGTCAATCATTTTTAGATCATTTCTATAAATCTAATTTAGATTTTTTGGATAATATTACTCAACAAATCAAGCATTTTTGCTAGTTTAATTGCTTGCTTTATTAATAAACTAATAATCTCTAAAAATTTAAACAAATAAAATTTATTTAATATACTATAATATGAATTAAAAATCTCATTTTTTGTTGAATCCATTTTTAATAGCAAAGCTTGTATATATATAAAAAGAAATTGATAATTATATAATTAACTTATTTACTATAATAATTTTATATATTCTATATTTTATTTTTTAATTTTCTTTATTTTTTAGCCATATGGGATGAGTGCTGGGAAAATGGACCAAATTGATTTTTTTTTTAAAAAAAAGTTTCTAAGTAAAATAAATGTAAATTAGGTCATCTGATTCAGATCATTTGTTATTTAAAAAAAAATTTTTGTTGATTTGGTCCCTTTTTCCAGCACTCACCCCATATAGTTTAATTTTTAAATATATAATTAATATTTAATGATAACTTTTAAAAAAAATAAATAACTAATAAAATTATAATTATTTGTGAATTTGACTTATCAATACATTTATTAAGATTTGAAAACTGTGTATTATTTTTAAGATTATAATATTTAGATAAGACAAATAAAATAATTTAAAGTTTAAGTAATATAGAAGCTAATGATATTTTTTTTTATTTTATTATATGTAATAAATTTGTATTATTGAGCTAACTTTTAAATATATCATCTTATATAAGTCATATTATTTAAAAGTAACTGTTTATTTACCAGAATTAGGTTAATAATCCAATTATGAAGTATATAAAAATTGTAGCAAATAAATTGTATTATAATATTATCAAAAATTTGCTTGAAAGTATCTTAGCATTCATATACATTCATAATTATCACTTTTGGTCATATAGTAATTTTTCAAAATATGTGCTTATAAAAAGGCATTATTAAGTTATGATAATATAAAGGTATTTTTTATTAATTTAATCATAATTGGTTTTAATATAAACGTGATTATAAAAGGTTTTTATATGATTTAGTTATAGACAGGATGATTATAGATAGAACTTACTGTATCATATTATACATATAAAGAAAAACCAATAATAGAATCAATAAACAGATACTTTAAAAAAGCAGGCCTCATTATATATTTTGATCTATATTTTGATTTTTAAAATAGTTATTTTTAAAATATGATATATGCATTATGTTTATTATGAATAGACATATGGGAGGTTTGCTAGGAAAATGGGGCTCTGAGACTAAAAAATTTTTTTGAATAAATTAAAAAATCAAAAT